TGAAGTGTTAAATAGAGAGAAAATTATAGAAATTATTAATGATCAATTGAAAAACATCATGGAGATAGAGCAATATGAAAGACAAGGCAAAAAACAAGTGATTATCAGTATCTCAGAAGTACAGGGTAAAAGATTACACAAAGTGAATTTTTACATTTAAAATGTATGATTGTGTCAAATGCTTATCGAATGTCTTTCATATTGATAATTTGAGGTCAAAATACATATTATTTTTGGTAATGTTTCCACCTAAAATAATTACATATATTTTCATTTTCATTCATATCAATATAAAACAAAACTTATAAAATAATAAACATTCAACCTTAAATCTATCATATTCCATATCTGTAAAGTTAGCGTTCTTTACTTCCATTATTTTTCACTTTCATTATTTCATTTTTGCATAGCCCCAATGCATAAGCTGTGAGAAGACCCAGCTTATTCTAACTACTTGATGTCATAAACTTATTAACCAATTACGGGACAGAAAATTACTAGTGAGAAAAACTAGTTGAGAAAAGAATAAATGTGACTACTCCCAAAGTGTGACATCATCAAAGGAAGTGGATGGGTACTATGATCAGATATATAAAGAGATTCTTGGATGCAAAATATGTAGATCTTCAAACAATTAAAACATTTTTTTTTTGCTTTTTATTATTTATGTGGAAAACAGACCAAAACATAGAATATTTAAATTTTCATGAAATTACTTAATATATATTTAAATAAAATTAAAATTTATGCACAGTAGAAGTAGATAAGATTGTATATGGAATCGTTGTTGTTATTGATGATGCAACAATAGTATAGCATACTTTACTGGGATGTAACTGATGTTGTATGCGTGTAAGCAAGCATTGGAGGAACTGTAGTGGCAATATACCAGAAAATGCAAGAAATTTCAATTGATTCAGACTGTGGTTCTGTAGAACTGTTAAAGTGCATTAATGCTTCTGACAGATATATTCACTTCGTCCAACTTACTGTAAAAAATTGTATATTTTTTAACTTTAAAATAAAATGTTTATGATAATTGGGTGATCGATTATAGACATTTTTGAAGTGTGTATGGATAATTTTGAAATACATTATTTTAACAAGAAAGATTTGTAGTTAAATGAAAATTATTTTGAAATTACAATTTATCAACGATTTATAATTAAAAATAAACTTATCATTCATTTCTTGTAATACAAATATAATTTATTGACAACATATTTCTTACAATTTGTCCGAAGAAACATTACAACAACTGAATTTATGGTAGATACTTTATAAAAGTATATAGTTATGTATACAGTATTTAAAAGTTGAAACTTATAAATTAAACACTAGTTTTCCCTATTAAAAAAGGAACATCGAAACTTATAGTAAACAAGAATCAATTTTCACAATGACTGTTGAACATATCAATAATAAATTTTAATAAAAACAACAATACTTATTGTTAGTTTATTTAAATACTATGAAGACAACACTATTTTCTAGTGTAAAAAAAGAAAGAAGACAATGAAATAGCAAATATTTATTTGCATCTTAAAATTAAGAATTTGGAAGATTCAAAAATAAATCTATCAATATTAAAAAGTTCAAATATATTCAGTCACTTATCAGTTCATATATTAAAATGACAAATTCAAAAACATTTCTGGACCTTTGGTCCCTGGAAATTTTCAATTAGCAATAGGAATTATTCAAAAATTAAAAGTAGAGGATTATTGAATTTATTCTTTTATTGTTAGTAATTTTTATTCATGTAACAGAAATTACTTTCATTTTTATCAACTATTTAATCTTCATTACATCTAATAAAAATATAGCAAATATGATATGTTATTTTTTGGAAAGTATTTCAACTTGTTGAGTACATAAAATTATATATTATTGAATTTAAACGATATAACATTTAATAATAAAGAGCCATATATATATATATTAAAAANGTAAAAGATTACACAAAGTGAATTTTTACATTTAAAATGTATGATTGTGTCAAATGCTTATCGAATGTCTTTCATATTGATAATTTGAGGTCAAAATACATATTATTTTTGGTAATGTTTCCACCTAAAATAATTACATATATTTTCATTTTCATTCATATCAATATAAAACAAAACTTATAAAATAATAAACATTCAACCTTAAATCTATCATATTCCATATTTGTAAAGTTAGCGTTCTTTACTTCCATTATTTTTCACTTTCATTATTTCATTTTTGCATAGCCCCAATGCATAAGCTGTGAGAAGACCCAGCTTATTCTAACTACTTGATGTCATAAACTTATTAACCAATTACGGGACAGAAAATTACTACTGAGAAAAACTAGTTGAGAAAAGAATAAATGTGACTACTCCCAAAGTGTGACATCATCAAAGGAAGTGGATGGGTACTATGATCAGATATATAAAGAGATTCTTGGATGCAAAATATGTAGATCTTCAAACAATTAAAACATTTTTTTTTTGCTTTTTATTATTTATGTGGAAAACAGACCAAAACATAGAATATTTAAATTTTCATGAAATTACTTAATATATATTTAAATAAAATTATATATTATGTATAGTGGAAGTAGATAAGATTGTGTATGGAATCAGTGTTGCTTTTGGTGATATAATAATAGCATACAGTAGTACACTTTACACTGATGTAACTTATATAGATGTAAGCAATGCTTGATTATTATACCTATATATAAGCATTAGAGTTGTTCAGCTGACAAACAGAATTGATATTTTCAGTTAACAAGTTAATATTTTGTTTATAAAAAGGAACTATAGTAGAACATGGTTAACTCAAACCAGGATAACTCAAAGTCACATTTACTTGAAGTCATTTTCTTTCCTCAATTGTCTAGCATAGGGATTTACATATTAAATTAAACTGGTTAACTCAAATTCATCAAATTGTTTAACTTGAATGGGGTTTTAAAGTATTTTTGTAAACTTTCGTAAATAATTAACCTTCATCTATTGAATAAACTAATCAGAAGCTCACTATAAAGTGCAAAAATCACATACAATTAAAAATAAAAATTATGTCACCTGCAATGGACCAGTACTGAACTGTACTGAAATAACTCTACTGAAACAAAAAGAGGGGTACATGTGTCCCCTTTTTGTTTCAGTTGTCCTTTTCCAAATCTGCAAAAAGACCTCAAACAACAGAAAATTTGTAACTTCTAGCCTATTCTGCAAATATAAAAGAAACTAACAAACAATATTTATCCATTGACCCAGGCAACTTTTTTGTATGTTGACCAAAACCCCATTCCTTGTTTACAAGGCCAAGTTAGTCTAAGTCAGTGTTTCTCAACCTCTAACGAATCGTTTCCCCCTTCAATAAAACCGTTATGTTGTATCACCCCCTTCACTACAAAATTCCGATGCCGAGGGCCAAGGCTAACACCAAATTTGTACTGCATTGAATAGACTAGTGACTAGCATAATGTTATTTGTTTAATTATTGTACGATATAACGAATAAAATATCTAATTATTCTTAATATAATGTTTTACTATATCACCCAGAAAATTGTTTTTCGCCCCCCCCAAAATATAAATTGTTACTAATCGCCCCCTCAACATGGAAAAACGCCCACATGGGGGCAATATCGCCCCCGTTGAGAAACACTGGTCTAAGTGCAACCAGCACCACTTTCTGAGAGTGCTGATCTGAAATTGAATCATAGAGTTCGAAGCTCTTTGTGCAATGTATGATGCCTTTTTTATAGTTTATGTTCCCTTTTTCATAGTTTGTGTGTGCCAGTGATCATGTGATGTTGAATGAGGTGGTGACTTTCAGACAGCATGTGTGTGACCTAGATATTGTAACTGCCATTTGAACCTTTATTTTCCTGAGCATATGTTTTTGTTTCATTTGATTGCTGATGAATTTCTCTGGCTAGCTAACATAATAAATAAATAAATTTTTGATAAATTAATTTAAAAAATGATTATAGTCTGATTCTATCAATATGTAAAAAGTTTAATCTTTGTAACAAAATTTTTAAAATACAGTAGAGCATCGATTAACCAACCCCTGATTAACTGTCACATTGGTTAACCGACCATTCTAGTCGGCAAATTTCAAAAGTCCGCTAGCGATGTGGCACTACAATATTTGGCTATGTCTTGGCTACTTTAATATTATTTTTGTTAAATTTTTGCGTATTTTAGCTGGCATCAATGGCTCAACCATTGAAGGGAGGCCAGTATTTAAACGAGACTTAATTTTCTAATTATGAGTGGTTGTTTGTTTTGTGAGCAATAAAATAATTTAAAAATAATTTTTAACGATACAATAGAGACGATTATTATTTTAAAAAAATTTGTTAGGCTAAACATCGATAAAATTCAACGTAAAGTTGGTTAATAGCGATATACTAATAAACTAATTACTTGGGATATACTAATATCCTAATATACTATACTAATAATGTATTTTTTTCCTTCTTTTCGGTTATCCAATTTTTTCAGTTATCCGACCAACCTGAGTCCCCAATTGAGTCAGATAATCGGTGCTCTACTGTATAACAATTGTAAAGAGTGGTATGTATGTGATAAAAAAAAAAAAAAAAACAGATCAATTCTAGGTGTACAATTCTAGAGTACAATTAAAAAATTCTTACTAAACACTTAGAAGTAAATGGATTAACCATTCAGGAAAGCATTTTTGAGTTTCTGAACATCAAGAGGTTTACATTGATTCTACTTAATTAATGTAATCTCCACAGAAATATCATATACACAGTTTATTATAGGTCAATCAATAAAACAATCACAAAATCTTGATTTTTAGCCAAACCTCCATAACTTGAAACATTTTAACTCAAAGTTTGAATTTTTTTCCACATCCAATTTGAGTTATCCAGGTCTCACTATAATAATAATTTTTTGTATTTTTAATGGAGTCTCTCTTGTATCATTGTCTGAGTATAGTAATCTTAAGTAAATGACTTTACCTATTATACTGTTGATTATTACTTACCCTATATAAAACACCAGATGGTAAATCTGTTGTTGTTGCATCTACAGGAATATCAAATAATTCTTCAATTTTTTTTGCTTCTGAAACAACTATTTCTGTTTCTGATGGTTCATTACAATTATTCCTAGTTTGCTAAAATAAATAAAAAAGAATTAGTGAAAAAAATGACAACTTAATTTTCTTAAAATTACAATAAATATTAGACAACATACATCATGTGGAACATGGTTAATTCAAACCAGGATAACTCAAAGTCACATTTACTTGAAGTCATTTTCTTTCCTCAATTGTCTAGCATAGGGATTTACATATTAAATTAAACTGGTTAACTCAAATTCATCAAATTGTTTAACTTGAATGGGGTTTTAAAGTATTTTTGTAAACTTTCGTAAATAATTAACCTTCATCTATTGAATAAACTAATCAGAAGCTCACTATAAAGTGCAAAAATCACATACAATTAAAAATAAAAATTATGTCACCTGCAATGGACCAGTACTGAACTGTACTGAAATAACTCTACTGAAACAAAAAGAGGGGTACATGTGTCCCCTTTTTGTTTCAGTTGTCCTTTTCCAAATCTGCAAAAAGACCTCAAACAACAGAAAATTTGTAACTTCTAGCCTATTCTGCAAATATAAAAGAAACTAACAAACAATATTTATCCATTGACCCAGGCAACTTTTTTGTATGTTGACCAAAACCCCATTCCTTGTTTACAAGGCCAAGTTAGTCTAAGTCAGTGTTTCTCAACCTCTAACGAATCGTTTCCCCCTTCAATAAAACCGTTATGTTGTATCACCCCCTTCACTACAAAATTCCGATGCCGAGGGCCAAGGCNCACTCCTGTTGCTAAGATAGGACTGAAGAAGTTTGTAGAGATTTTGAGGGCAGTGATGAGCATGTAATGTATGCAGGATAAAAGGCCATTAGGCATGATTGAAGGCGCCTCTAAAGTCAATAGTAATTATTGCCATATGCTGATTATTAAGCTTAGCCTGGTGGATGTAATTAACAACTTGATGGATGGCATCTATAGAACCTTTGTTTTTAGAGAAGCCGAACTGACTCTGGTGCAGGGCTCTACGTTTGCATAGATGCCATGTGATCCTATTAATCATTAGACCGTCTAACACTTTTCCCAGAGTTGGGAGAAGGCAGATCAGTCTGTATTTTTTGTAAGTGTTAGTACTGGTGGTTTGGGAATCAATTTAATACTAGCCTTTTTCCACTGAGTAGGAAAAAGGCCAGTGTTCAAGCAGATATTGAAGAGAATTACAAACACTGTAGGATTGGCCTCAAATGCATGTTTTATCATCCTAGTAGTTATGCCATCAAGGCCTGGGACTTGACGGCATAACCACTATCGGTGACAGAACAAATGACATTCGAAACCTCAATGTAGGTGAAGTTATGGTCATTATCTGTATTAGGCAAAGTGAGTGCAGAACTTCTGATGACCACTTGTGTACTGTATATATATATAACAAGTTTTGAAGTGGCAAAAAAGTTTTGAAGTTTAAAATTTTGAAGTGGCAAAAAAATCATAAACTGGCAAACAGGGATTGTCCTGTTTGCCAGTTTATAATTTTTTTTGCCACTTCAAAATTATTTATTGCCACCAGTTTTACTTACAAATTAATACAGGTGCTGGTGCTGGTAGCCTTATCAGTTTGGCATCTGGAAAGCAAAAGTAATATGTTAAACTGTCACTTACAAGAAGAAGGACAGACATTCAGTTCTCCAATTCAAATGAAACTCGATGAGGATGTAGCCCTAAATGTAAACAGCTCCTTGTCCAAGCATTTCCAAAAAATGGGCCTCTGAAAATTGAGTGTTTAGCTTATAAGTCTTTGAAAGTTTCACATCTCTGAGTGGCACTAGCTGCATGAATAAGACGCTAGGTACTGAAGCTGGACAATGTAAAGTTCAAACCTTTGGAATTTTAGTTTAGATTTTTTTATGTATAACATTATTATTTTACCACATCATTAGCATTATTATCCTCATGTTTAAAGCTTATAAAACAAGAGATTAAAAATTGTGATGTAATTTCCCATTTAGTGAAAACAAGTCTCTGTAGAAAACTGTCTTCTTTATTTAAAAAACACTAAATGTTGGCTAATAATATGTAATTTTATGTTATGCATCTTATAACTGCTTCTTTAAAATAAAGACAAAGACCATAAAAACAACTTTTTATATACCTTTAATGCTATGCATTTCAGATGCTACACATCCATCTTGAGGCTTTCCACAATGAAGTAAATTTACAATTATTAAAACCATATGCACAGATACATAAGACTCTCTCCCTCCTAGTCTTATGTATCCATGCATATGTTTTAACATGTGCATCTTCTCCATCCAACACCATATTGCACCAGTAGCTAAGCAGATTCAATCCCTAAACAGTGGTAGTTGGCTCCAGTTTGCGCTTGGGCCAATGGGTTGGCTGGTGCATTTTCCAGGTTTTCTTTGCATCAATAATGCCCAAATAGGCACCACTTTACCTTAAAACACACCTGAAAGGCATATTCCCTCAATTGCAGATGGTGTTGCGTGCCAATATCTAAAATCAATCAATCGATACACAAGCACATTGAAAAAAATTATTTGCTTTTTCAGTGGTTCATATGCTACTCAGTTTCAATTTTTTTTCGCACAATTTCGATTCACATAGCATATGAGTTACTCAATACAAATATGAATATAACTTATATAAAATAAAGTTTAAAATATCTTTTTACAAATGCAAAGACAGTCAAGTATCGCATGTTTCATAATTTTTGTTGGGCAATAGCAAAATATACATAGCCTGGCATGTGTTATATAGAAAATGCAGCTTTCTAGGTGATGTGAAAATATTCATTTAAATTATAAAAAGTATTTTCTGAAAGTATAGAGCACATCGTACAAGGTATGCATAAGATTTTGGTGTGAAATGGCCTTTATAGGTAAATATATTTTGATATCTAAATTTATCAAAGTGTCTGTTTTCTAAGAAATTTCTTTAGATACTAATTAAAAACTATTTTTCATACTTTACATTTTACCAACAGTAAAATTCAGGGTTGCAGTCGCTGGAGTCGAAAGAATTTTATCGACTCTACTCTAAAACGTCCAACTCCGACAACTCCAACTCCACAACACATAATATGTAATCATGAGCAAAAATATGTGAAAATAAATATGAAGAAATAAAAGTTTTATTTAACAACTTAAAAGAAGTAAATCTACAGAGACTTGTTTTCACTAAACAGGAAATGATGTCACAATTTTTAATCTCCTGTTTTATGAGCTTTAAACACAAGCAATAATACTAATAATACAGTAAAATAATAAAATAAGAATGTTGCACATTAAAAAAACTAAACTAAAATTCCATCTGGCTCTCTCCTTGTTAGCAACAGAAATCATTTTTGAATAATTTTTTAATGAATAATTCCAAACAATACATTTGATCACAATGTTTAAACAGTATTTTATAAGTTCTATCATATCAATTTCAAATATCAAAATTTTTGTTTTAGTCACTGAAAAAAAGATGAAAGTGAGAAAAAAGTCATTTCAAATTTTCTGTCAGTTAATAAAAATCCTCAATGTGGAAATGCTGGGTGGCATTGCACAAAACTGCCTCCAGTTCTCAATGTCACTTCCTACTTTTCTGCCCGAAATTGCCATGTGATGTCCAATGTACCCTCTAATTTTTTTTGTAGATGAGTGGAACATATACTTCTCTGAGCAAAAAAAATTTTTGCTGAGCAGATTCTGAGCAAAAAATTTTTCTGAGCATATATATATAATCTTATTTTTTTCTATAAAAATTAAAATAATTTATTATAAAGTAGAGATTAAAATTCATTTTAAAACATACTTTTATACAAAATATTATCTTTTGTCATTGATTTAATGTATTTAATCGAAATATACGCAGCAATAATCATGTTGCAGACAGAGCGAGAAATAAGTAAACAACAATTCAAATCGGTGTGCATGCTCGCCTGAGCGGCACATAAATTCTCATGCACGGCAACAATTTGAGCAGTGCGCAGCTGCGCACTGCTCAAATTGTCAGTATTTATTTTCACATTTTCACTTCACGGTCCTTCTCTGTTCTTTTTCCGTTATTTACACGTGTAGGTCATTTCATTGTTATCCACATTTAATATCATCATTTATCACATACTTTGATGACACTCTTGTCCATCCGCTACAACTGCCAAGAATTAATGCGATTGGCGAAGCGTAGTGACAGTGAGCCAATAGAGAGCAGGATCCTTGCCATAATGTGGTTTGCACGCCAATTTTCATACGTGCGTTAATCGAGCCGAATAGTTTGGCCGAATATTCGGCTATTCGGCCACGCTCCTGGCCGAATATACTATTCGTTACAACACTAACAATTATCTTTTATTCAAAACAATATTACCAAGCACTAACTTATCTTCAGTTGACAATTTTCAATTACAATCCATTCAAAAAAGTAAAAAACTACTACACTAGAAACTACTTAGGAAAAAATTTTTAATGTACCAGTGGAAGGTTTAAAATTATAAAATCCATACTTAGAAGGATTATTCTACAAAATAAATTCCAATATATCAATGAAATTTGTTTCTCCTTCAAATCTTGCATGCTGCATTTGCTCTTTGAAGTAGTGAGTCTATTTCTTCAGTCTAAAAGTTCACCATTTTGAATAACAGAAAGTAACCATATAAGTGAGATGTTTTTATGACGAAATCAATTTGCATTAAGACTATGCTTTATTCAAATTTAATTTGCAGATTTGAACTTAGTTTAGGTTATTATGTAAACATATCTTACTTTTGCTTGTCTGTTTCACCTATCTAAATAAATATGCTAGTTTTTGCATTTATTGTTTAACTTTTGACCACCAATGTAAACATAGAATTAGTCACTTATATACAAATTATATTATAATTTAATTGCAGGAATAAGAGAATTATAGTGGTTTTTCTATATTCTGTATACTAATATAACAACAAAATTGCAATGTTTTATTAAATTATTTGCTTTTTAATGTTGAATTTTATTATTATTGTGATATTTATTATGCAATTAGTATTTCCTTACAACTAAATTTCTTCATTTATTTAAATTTTTTATTTCCAAAACTTAAATAAAAAAAATAGTTTTTAAAAAATAAAATTGACTTACTACTATTCATTTCTTCTATGTGAATACTAGTTTCACCATTTATGACACCACTTGATTCATTATTCCTATGGTCTTTATCTTCAAAGCTATTATCACCAGATTCACTAATTTTCAAAAGATTTTAAAATTATATATTTCTGTAGTACATATCTACTATAGGCCAAGGGTTTCTGACTATCACAATATTTTGCATTAATTCAAAACAATCAAAAAATTTCACAAATATTAGTTGAATATATTTTTTATATGTACAGCAATAACTACTTATAGAAAAATATAAAATCTATATTCATGAAATTAAATAAAAAGTAAATTTATAACATTGTTTCACGTAAATGCTTCTACTAACCTAAACAGTAATTTATATTTTAGGACTTATCACGCCAATAAATAAATTTTTAAATATAAATATAAAATAAATTTAAGAAATTTATTTTATATTTATGTTTACAATAGAATAAAGGAATTTTACAATAATTAAATCTAATACAGTAGAGCGTTGTTTATCCAAATCAATTGGGGACTGGCGTTGTTCAGATAACTTATTTTTCGGATATCCGATTATGTACGAAAAAATATATTAACCTATCCCATCCTGAAATTTTTCTCTGTTGCGTGTCGCTTTGCATTGAATTTTTGTCGATGTTAAGACTAACGTAAACTTTTTAAAATAATAATTGTGGCTATTGCATCACTAAAAATTAATTCTTTATTTTGTACAAACAAAATAAATATATCGAAAAATATAAAAACAAAAAAAATTATACTTTAGAAGTTAATCTAGTATCAAAAACGTAAAATATTTGAGTAGCCCAAGATATAGCTAAAGATTGCAGCACCACAGCACTAGCGAAAATTTAAATTTGCCAACTGGAATTCTTTCGGATAAACGACGCTCTACTGTATGTATACAATACACCCAAAATGCATTTCATAAGTAATATTAAAGGAATTAAATTTTATAATAGATAGGTAGACAATTGTTTCATTGTATGTAACATTATTATTTCCTTTGAATTTGATTGTAGGTGCATACCACAATTTATTTGATATAATGTTTCAGTCAACAGTTCAGAGACTTCAATTGTGAGTATTATGTCCATTACCTTTATCATTTAATGTCTAAAGTAGTGTGTTAATGACTATTGTTAATTATGTGTAGAACTATCCATGGCTAGCTTGGTTATAGAAAATATGAAAAAGATGGAATTTATTGTATGGCGCTTGTGAGATAACATTAGTTTCTTAATTGTGATGTCTTCATGGTTATTTAGGATTTCAATGTAACTTTAATGAATTTTTATCGTGTTATCTTTATTGAAAGGCATTGAAACAAACTGAAAGGAACTTTTCAGTCCCTTTCAGTTGGTGTTTCAATGCCTCTTGTCCAAAATGCATTTTGGGTGTATTGTATACCTTTTAGATTTAATTTTTGTAAAATTCTTTTATTCTATTGTAAACTTAAATATAAAATAAATTTAAGAAATTTTGTGTTCATTGTGTTCACTGGTGTGATAAGCCCTAAAATATAAATAACTGTTTAGGTTAGTAGAAACATTTAATGAAATTAAGGGAAAACAATAAACAATACAATCTTTTCATGTAAAAAAATCTTAATTTTCTTTCTTTTTTTTGCATGAGACATTTCTAAACTTTTATTCTTAAGCTTTTATAGTTTTGAGATAAATATACTGTATTATATTCTTTTAAAAATTTCAAATTCTATGGATAATTTGCCTTAAGTTATGATTCAATTATATTTACAACAGAATTTTTTATTAAAAAATCTTTTTAAATAATATATGTTTTTTTAAATAATTTAGTATTATTGTAAACCAATGATGAAATAATCATGAAACAAAATTCATTATTGATCAAATTTCATATAGAAGCATAACTATATGTCTAATGAACTTCTTACAAAGTGACACAAGTGACACAATAAATTTATCATTATTTTCAGATAAGACAAAATAACCAGAAGTAAGAAATATCAAACCATTTTTAACTGAAACCTTCAAATAAAATTGCAACAATTGAAATTGAAATCATCTGCACTATAAATTCCATTAGTAATAATGAAACAAAAATCAATAGAGCAGAAGTTTATAAATCCAGTATCTACAGAACCAGAGAGGTCAAAATATCAATAATAATCTGGTTTACTGGCAATTTTTATATTTTTGAAAAATTTAATATATTATATGATCTAAACATAGCAGACATTGCTGTATGTTTTTACATTGCACACTACTGTATGCTTCTAGTTTGTTTATACACAAAATTTAATCAGCCTGAAGATGATATAATGCATGACTATACTTGTTAAGATTGATTTAAAAACCTGCAAAACATTAATAAGCACATTATTTTACAAAATTTATATCCATATTGATTCATATGCATAAAATATTTATTTTCCAGACATTTACTGTATTTCATATTAGATTCTTCAGTGCATCACGTGTCTAAATAAATTCCAATTCACAGAATACTAGCATACTAGATTACCATCAATTCCAAATGATTGGTTACTTTTCAGAGAATGCTTCTTTACTGAATATTCTAGATAATTGTTTGCTGAATTAACAAATAAACATCCACTGTATTTGAAATTGTTTTCAGATCCTAACTGCTAATTAGTGATTGACCAATATAGAAATTATTCAATCCAATCATGATACTTTTTTTATCTGATCTGATATGTATTCAATAATATCTTGAGAATCTAAAGATTTATTATATTTAAGGATTTAAATTTGCTATAAACATGAAAATGACAATATTAAAATAATTTTTTAAATTAAATGAACACTTTACTTTATTTGCATATCATCATCTTACACTAGCATATAAATATGCAAGTATAAATTTGATATAATATTGTGATTAATTAATAAAAATAAAATAGAAAATAATTGAAGTTGAACATGACAAGTGTTTTCATCAATGCCATAGAATGAGCTATTTTTAGTGAGCCATACTTGTTTATGAAAGTGATGATCATGCATATTCTTTCTGAAAAATTGTTTTAAAAAATGCACAAGTATTTCTTTTGCATACATATAAATCCAAATTTTTAAAAAGGTAACATGCTATTTTTTCAAATTTTTTACTTCTTTTTATCAATATATTTTTTTTTTCAAAAATGAGACTGATTTTTTAAAAATTTATTAAGAAGTAACAAATATTAATATGTTGAAATGTATCTGTAAAAAAATGTGGAAAATAAAGAAAAATATGCTTATAAAATAATAATAAAACTTTTATTTAGCTGTTTTATCAAAACAATTCAGAAATATTTTTAATTGCAATTCATTAATGAGCAAATTTTCCATGTGGAAGGAATGAGTGAAAATTTTGTTTAATTTCAACCCACCAGTAACATGAAATTCCAACAATTAAATATTGTTGAAAACAATTTTCTTATTTGGTTTTTTATATAAATCAAAACCTCAAGTCTACAATCAAAACTACTGCTGTCAAGCCAGATAGTTTGGCAATCATTTCCTTAGCTGAAGAACATATTGAGAAAGCCTAATTCATAATGTATCTAAGAATATTAAAAACAGAATATCAGCAAAATGAGCTATTATACAAGATGTATTCTGTCCCTATAATATTGGAAACAATGTATATTGGTTTAAAAACGTAATTAGATATTCCATTATTGGTTGCATAATATAGGGAAATTCTGATAATGATCTGATATTTGAACACTTACTATTGCTAATATATAATCAAAGAAGAAATCAATTAATTATGAAAATTATTTTTGAATTTTTAACTTATTCAAAATATTTCACAAAGTCTGAAATTGTTGGCCTGTAGTATCTTGTAAAAATATCATAGTTAAGCAGTTTTTCATTTATAAAATTACAAATGATAAAGAGAAAACTAAATTACTTCTCATAATAAAACTGAATGTTTATTTATTAATTATTATTAATTAATAATTTAAATAAAACATTTTTTTGTAAACCCATTTCATAAAACATTTTATAAACAGATGAACTTGATATAAGCATTTTATAAGATAAAATGTACTTTAGAAAAATAAATAACGTACAGCAATATCTGTCAACATTACATTAAAAAAATTATTATGTGAGTATTTTCAACAGTATACAACTGTCCTCTTCAGGCAAATTGTTTATAGAGAACATAACATTTAAATTCAAGTGAGAGAATCCAAATAGGAACTAACATTTTTTCAAACTGCTTGTCCCACATCTGTATGGAATATAAATTACATATACTGTATACAATTTTAAAAATTTTATACAATAATTCAAAATACATGATATGTAAAAAGAAAACAATAAAATAAAATTGGATTAAAATATAAGGTATATATGTTACTGGCCAATCCTGATTTCAGGCCAAACTAGTTTATCCTACATGTGTCAGGATATACTAGTTTAGCCTAGGACAATCTAGTTTGGCCTAAATACTTTAGGCTTAACTAGTTTGTCGTAGGCCAAACTGATTTAGAATTATTATTTAAGTCAGGCCTGACCAACCCAAATTGTTTTGCGGGTCACTTTGATCATGCGTAACATTACAGTGGGCCACGATTTAGGCAAACATGCTTTTAAAAAAGTAAAACAAATACAAAATGAATAAGATTTCATTGTTATACCAAGAGTTCGTACTCACACTTGTGCATTATAACAATGACACAACTTTTCATTTATTTAATTGTTTTGGTATACACAAAACATTAAACGAAAGTTTTAATAGATATATAATATCGCTTAGCGGGCCACACAATTTAATGTGACGGGCTGTGGGTTGGCCAGGCCTGATTTAAGTATATTAAAGGTTAAAATAAAGTTAAAAGACAATCAATTAGATGAACAATATTTATTCAAACATAGTCTACTTAATTATAAAAAATGGTATTGATTAGAAGTGACACAACACTTGTATAAAACTATAAAATAAAAATAAGCTAATCAGTACTTATCAGTTTGTATTTTTTTTTATTAAACCATGAACTTTTAAAGGTAATTAACTTTCGAAAATATTTTCAAAAATTCAAATGAAATAATAAACATAACTTTTAAGTCAAACTAAAATTAAAAATGAACTTGTTTGTGCT